CCCCTGGGCAGTTGCCCAATTGCCCATATGGTTAATCCGGCCTTGCTTGGGAGCGACTACGTATGCTGTGTTTTTGGGAAATTGTAGTCGGTGAGTTTACTATTTTATACTACTTCTGTGATATTACTACTACTTCTACTTCCTGTTATCTTCTTCATCATCGTCTTTTTCACCAGTAGAAACAGACGGTTGTTGATCAAGTGACTCCTGTGATGCAAAAAAAGTGTTCCCATTGCAGTTTTGCGAGAAACACCAATTTCGATACGGCCGAAAAACCACCTCATCCTAGCGCAAAAACATTTTGCCGAAAAACGTCAACTTTTTTTCGAAATTGACGTATTTCCACAGAGAAAATTTATTTTCGAATTTCTAATTTGCGCATTTTCATGGTCAATGGAAACACAGCTAATGTCACTGTGCTTGTATTTAAGACCAAACAAAAGCAAAAGAACTCCGCCTCTGGTTAAGGGCTTGCAGCATTATGATCTTACGCCAGTCATTCTCCAATAGTGAACCCTTTAGAATTTTAAAAATCAGCTTTCTATTGCAGAATTTATGTACATTTTAACATTTTATCTCAATAACACAAACTTGCTGTAAGAGAACTCATACATTCCTACAGACTTGCCAACAAACACACCAGTGGTGGAGGGATGATTACTGTTCCCTGGATTCCTCCCTTCTCCGTCTTGTCCTTTCTGATATTCTAACAGAAACACAGATGCAAACAGTAAATGTACACATTCACAAATCTAACCATCAAACTACGAATGAGGTGAAAATTATTTGTTGTGAATGGAACAAGAACTTGAGTTTGTATTGAGACCAGCAGTTTATAAACTGTTGTAACACAGTGTGCCTGACTTACCCTGTGAAGCTCAATAGACTCAATCCACTGGTTTCTGTGCTCTGGGTCTTGTGCTCTCAGGTACCAGACGCTGTCGTTCACGCTGACGTCCAGCCGGCACTCATCAAATTCATGAGCCTAAATGTTTTACACACACAAAAAAAAAACAGTATACAGGACAAAAAATGGGTGAAATATAAATAGTATGTGTCATTCTGTTAAATGAGGCCAGTTATTAGGGCCAGGCTAAATTGATTTTTGTTGTACACATACACAAAATACAGTCTTTACAGATTTCTGAGTTGTTCCAGAGGTGTTTGAACACAGCTGTTCACAGCATTTACTCTGGCATTCTTCCAGCCATTTTCCATCCAGCCACTGAGAAAAATATATAAAAGATTTGTGGATGATAAATAACCCTAACCATAAATTCCACCCAAAGTCAGAGGTTGGGATGCAATTCTGTGACCTTCTTGCTAAGAACTGACAGCTTTACCAACTGCACCACCATGATGCCCACCGTTGTAAAAAAAAAAAGGATTTCCGTGTAGTTCTTTTTTCATACCATCCTGGACTTTGAAGACATACACATCCCCAGCAACTCCTGCCTTTTATTTGATGCTGTAAAAAAGAACACTCCGCAGAAAATCTCTTACTGTGAAATACATACAGCAGGTAAAATAAGTATTGAACACATCACCATTTTTCTCAGTAAATATATTACTAGAGGTGCTAATGACATGAAATTTTCACCAGATGTCGGTAACAACCCAAGTGATCCATACATACAAAGAAATCAAACGGGTCTGAAATAAGCATTTTAAAATGTTTTCAAAATAAGTCTGGCACTTTGGAGAAAATCCAGGACGTGGTCATATATCCCCTCTGGCCTGGGAACGTCTCGGAGTCCCCCAGGACGAGCTGGAAGGTGTCGCTGCATGGGGAGAGCGCGGGGTCTCTTTGCTGCTGCCATCGAGACCTGATCCTGGATAAGTGGCGGAAAACGGACGAACGGACAATTTATATTGTCCGGCCACTTTATTAGGTACACC